GGAAATCCAAAGTCTCTGTAAACTTTCATTAATTTTATTTTAAAAAAGAAACCTTTTTCATGTGCTTTGGGTGAAGGTTTACCGAGCAAATTCGTTTTCCATTCAGCAATTTATACACATTTTATGGCGTGACGTTGACGTTGAGACCCACGCAGAGATAGAGGTACATTGGGGGGTGGGGGGAGGAAAGGCACTTTTGACTCTGTTTCTGGATCTGTAACTGACTAAAAGAGGTTGAATTAAAGAACGAGAGCGTTCATATCCAGACGAGACTCCAACTATGAAAGAACCTGTGGTGATTATTTAATTCTTTTGACCCTCTCCATTCTACCTCTGAGGGAGGAAGGGGCATAACCCATTAAGAACTCGTCCAATGCCAATGCCATTTGGATGGTTCATTTTTCCTACCACAGCGCATACTGTACTCAGATTAGAGAAACACAGGGGTTTGAGCTAGAGGGGAGAAGTCAAAACCAGCTGCTAGAAGAGCCAGCAAGGGGAAGAGGTCCTGTTCAGGACTATATCTGAGAAACAGAGTGACTGACGGATCGCTAGTTCATACGAGGCTTCACTTAACCCATCTTTTCTGTCCTCAGTGGGTGGCCGTGTAGACTTTGAGGATTTTGTGGAGCTTATGACCCCTAAGTTGCTTGCAGAAACAGCTGGGATGATTGGGGTCCAGGAGATGCGAGATGCCTTCAAGGAGGTGAGTTAGGAGTTTCATGGCGCTGGGTGTGGGGGTCGCTGAGGCAACCAAGAGATACTCTGATGAGCCACGGCCACAAACAGGCGCCACCGACACCAGTCGTCTTGCTGGCTCTGTGCGTAGCGGGTTTTCCCTGCTAACCTCGAGGTCAGCAGTTTTTAACCCGCTGGGCAGCTGGAGAAACATGAGTGGTCTCTCCTCCTGTGGTGAATTGGAATGGGCTCCACCACAGTGAGTGGGCTGTGGTGGCATCCTAGTTGTGCAGTGGTTAAAGTGCTGAGCTGTTAACCAGAAGGTTCGGGGAGGGGGAAAGAGGAACACCCCAGATGACATGGGCAGACACAGTGATCACACCAATGGACTTAAATTAAGCACAGCAGAGATTGTGAGCATACAGCAGGATTGGGCAGATTTTGTTCAACTTGACAGCATCTAAAAGCAACAACAGGCTGCTTCTAGAAAGCTTAAACAAACAAACAAAAAAACAACAAAAACAAACAAAACCTACAGCCTTTGAATCTGTAGCAACTCCAAGCCACCCTCCACTAAGTTTTCTCAGATTGTAAATCTTTACAGGAACAGCTGCTCATCAAGATGCTGGTGGAGTCGAACTGTTGACCTTTCAGGCCAACAGATTGCACGTGACCCCCTCAGGACTCTTCCGTCACGTTTATTACATAGGGAGCCCTATGGGAGCAGTTCTGTCCTGTCTCGTAAGATCGTTCCGAGTCAGGATTGACTCAATAGTGATGGGGTTTTGGTGGATGAGGGAATCAAAAGGAGCCCTGGGAATGCTGTGCTCAAAGCTCTCAGCTCTGAACCCGAAGGTCAGTGGTTCAATTCCACGGGTGATCCCAGAGAGAGAGATATGTGACAGTCCATGTCCCTAATATGTAAAACCTTGGAGACTCTACAGGGCAGTTCTAGTCGACCTGACTGCCCCCTGGAAACCTTGTTGAGTCCCTTCTGACTCTTTGGGTTTTTTGTTTGTTTGTTTGTTTTCCAAACCAGTGCTGTCGAGTTTAGTCACAGCCAAGGAAAGAACACTTTTGTGCATTCAAATTTATAAACTGTTTATGAAACATTTATGATAACTAGAGTTACCATAGTTTGACACCTTGTTAGAAACTTTGTCTTCCTCTTAGAAAACAAGGGTGAAGCATTCACACATTGAGTAGTGACCAAATCTTGTGATTGAGTTAGAAACAACAGTTCCGGGATCAAAGATGGTGCCCAGTGCCTTCTGACTACTATTTGCAACTCTCCCTGAGGCTTCCGAGGCTGTAAATCTTTATGGGAGGAAATTGTCCATCATTCTCCCCATAAAAGAAGCTGGTGGTCGCTGACTTTTCCCACTCCCCCGCTTCCTTTTTTGGCCAGGCCTTTTACTTCCGCAGAAGGATGCCTCCAGACCACTGACCTTTTCTTGGTTAGTGGTCTGACCCCTTAAGCACTCTGTGCAATCCATCATCCCTCCGCTGGCAAGCCATTTCCCACCCAAAGCAGGCCTGCGTTGCATATCCAAGGCTGCAAATCTCAACAGGAGGAGGACTGTTCATCTTCCTCTGTGGGGCAACTGGCGGACTCGAACTGCCAGCTTCTCGGATAGTAGCGCGGCACACCGTGTTCCTTCACCTGACGCACTGTGTCAGAGTCACTCTGGGTCAGAACGGACTCAAAGATGAACAGATTTGGTGGCTCAACAGCTGACAGAATGGAGGGCAGTTCAAATCCACCCCCCACTTCTCTTCAGAAAAGAAGATTGGACGATCTACTTGGAAAGCCGCTTTAATGAGGAGGAGTGTGGCATCAGGATTGGAGGAAGACTCATCAACAACCTATGATATGCAGATGACACAGCCTTGCTTGCTGAAACTGAGGAGGACCTGAAGCACTTGCAGCAAAAGGTCAAGGACTGTAGTTTGCAATATGGATTGAAGTTCAACATCAAGAAGGTGAAGATTCGCACCATGGGGCCAACTGACAGCACTGTATTAGATGGAGAAGAGATTGAGGTTGTTAGCAATTACAGCTTGCTTGGATCCTCAATCAACACTCTTAACACCAGCAGTCAGGAATTCAAACGACAAACTGTACTGGGAAAACTCTGCTGTCAGGGACCTCTCCAGAGTGTTAAAGAGCAACGATGTTAGTCTAGATACAAAGGTGCGCCTAATACAGGCCATGGTCTTCTCAATTACTTGTTATGCTTCAGAGAGTTGGATAATGACTAAGGATGACAGAAAAATAGAGGCCTTTGAGTTGTGGTGCCAGAGAAGAGTCTTGAATATACCATGAACTGCCAAGAAAACAAATCAGTCTTTTCTTGGAGAGAACGAAACCAAGTCTCCTTGGAGTCTAGGATTCTGAAGCTCTGCCTCACTTACTTTGGGCACATGGCCAGGAGAGACTAGTCCTTGGAGAAGGACGTCATGCTCAGAAGGGTGGATGGACAGCGCAGGAGAGGGAGACCCCCGATGAGATGGATTGATACAATGACTGGGGCAATGTGGGTTGGTGTGTTAGAATTAGCGAGACTGGCTTAGGACAGGGAAGGGTTCAGAGCTGCTGTACACAATGTCGCTATACATCGCAGGCGACTCAATGGCACATAACAATAACGTGCTATGACAGGTTTGGAAGCAGGACTGGCATTCACTTCCTAAATAATATGCCTCTGGAAACTCTGTGAACTTTGATAAATGTTGATAGTTGTAAAGGGGCTTTGAGCCTTTTGGTCATAGGGTCGCTTTGAGTTATGTTCGACTCCAAGGCAATCAATCAACAATAACAACAACTTGGAAAGCCTGTAGGGAAGCCCTACTCTGCCCTCCATACAGTGTCACTATTAAGTTGGAAGGGACTTAACAGCACAGAGCAAGTTGGGGTCAACTTGAAGGCACACACACCACAAGTATTATTATTATTGTCATTGGTCCTAATGTTGTCCCCCTTGCTCCTCTCCAGTTTGACACTAACGGGGACGGGGAGATCACACTGGCGGAGCTGCAGCAGGCCATGCAGAGACTGCTGGGGGAAAGGCTGACCCCCCGGGAGATCGCCGAGGTGGTCAAGGAGGCCGATGTTAACGGGGACGGCACCGTTGACTTTGAAGGTGACCTTGCAGGACCAGCCACTTCTCCAAACCCCTGTTATTTTTTACCAACCCTTCTTACTCTTCCCCCAGCCTCAGGGTGGGTGGGAGGTCTGGGAAGTGCGTGTTCCAGCCCTTTGAAGTCGCTGAGCGGTGCACATGGTTACGTGAACAGAATGGTTGGCAGTTCCAAGTGCCTCCGAAGAAAGGCCTGGCATTCTGCTTCCGAAATGCCAGTGAAAACCGTCTAGAGTAGTTCCACCTTCTGACCCTTGGGGACTCTGTGAGCCTGATTGATGACCAACCACAAAAATACCCAACCTCATTGCTGTTAGGACAATCCCGAGTCACAGAGACCCTGTAGGACAACGCAGAACTGCCCCTTAGACCATCCAAGAATGTAGATCTTTACAGAAGCAGACTGCCTCGTCCTTTCTCTCACAGAGCAGCTGGGGAGTTTGAACCCCCTCACGATTGGCAAGGACTAAATGCCCGGCTGGTGAAAACAGCTAAACACTTGATTACTAACTGTAGGGTCTTCTAGGGTGGCCTGTTACAATAATTGTTCTTTTGTGACTGAATTACGTCCCTCAGCGCAGCATCCTCTAGATTCATCCATACTACACAGTCTTTCCCAAATTCTTTATCATTCTTTAGTGCTGCGTAATACTCCACTGAATTACTAACACTCTTGAAGTATCAGTTTCTACATCTGCAAAATGGGAGCAATGATAATGATGCCTTTCTTCCATAGCTTTTTTGCTTCTTTGTTTTTATTATTTGTGTATGTGCGTACCATCAAATCAGCTCTGACTGGTACAGGAGGAGATTGTCCCTCCTTCTCCAGCAGAGCATCTGGTGGATTTGAACCACTCACCTCTGGGATTGCATTGGAGCTTCTTGCCACTAGGCTACCAGAGCTCACTCTTCCATAGTTTTGAGGGAAACAGAAACTGTTCATGAAACCAAAATCCAAACCCAGTAACTTACTATCAAGTCAACACTGACTCATGGACATCAGAGGATGACTCTATACAGGTTTTTTTGGTTTGTTTGTTTTATATTATTGTTTGTCTGTGTACTGTCAAATCAGATCTGACTGGCATAGAAGGAGATTGCCCCTCCTTCTCAAGCAGAGCATCTGGTGGATTCAAACTGTGTACCTCTGGGACAGTTTTGGTTTTTAACTTCTTATTTTCACTTGAGTGAAATCTTCCTGAGCTAAAATGGATTTTCCCCTCAACAATTCATGTGCATTATGTTATCTGACATTGGCTACAATTCCCACAGTGTAACAGCACTCTTCCCATTTCCTCCCTGTGTTTCCCATGTCCATGCTTCCTCTTCCTCATCCGTTTCTGCCTGCTGAGTTGTTATGCTGAATCTGTGGCACTCGAGGTTTTCAACGGTGACCCGATGAAGTCACAGTGTGACTAAATGGTGCCCAGTCCTACAGCCTTCTCATGATTACCACTGTGATCTATACTTAATTTTTAGAAGCAGATTTCCAGGCCTTTCTTCCTAGGTGTCTCTCAAATCACTGACTTTTTGTTTAGTGATTGTTTAGTGACCTTGTGCCGTCCAGGGACACTTGGCACGCAGTGAGGACTGGGGCGGGGGTGCGGGATGACAGGTTGGTTTCTCTCTCTGTCTCTGTCTCTCTCTCTCTCTCTTTTTTTAGTGTGACCTCACTCTCAAACACCCATTGGCTTCTCTTTTGAATATGTAACTTACCAGTTGCTTTTCTCTGCAGAGTTTGTGAAAATGATGTCTCGCTGAGAAGGTCCTGGAAGAGGCGCTGCTGTTCCCCAGGCCAAGCCCTTGTGGAAGAAGAAGTCCCCGTGGCCGCATAAAGGATTGGGCTGCTGATGGCTGTTGTAGCATGGCAGGTTGATGTTGTTAGATCCCATCAAGTCAGCTTTCATTCCCAGTGACCACTGGGCCACTATGTCAACAGAACAATACAGAATGACAGAACAACCCCTCACGTGGTCCCTTCCCTTGCTGTCCTCACAGAACCGCTGCCTCGAACCCTCTCTTGCTGTCCCGGCGTCCATCCACCTCACCGAGGGTCTTCCTCTTTCTCATTGACTCTCTACTTTTCCAAGAATCACATCCTTCTGCAGAGTCACCCAGCTCCTTCCTCTCAAGAGCATTCCAGCCTCAGGCTGATTTCTATTTTATTATTATTATTAATTTTAAGGAAAATTTACAGAGACTTTGGATTTCCATTCATTCACTGTTGCACTTTTCTCCCTGCCCACCCCTCTCCCCCTGTACACTCTTCTCTTTGCAAAGTAAAAGAAAAATTCTCTCATTGTTATACAGTCCCTCCCCCCTGGTCCGCTCCACTACACAGCCTTTGTTCTGGACTCCTGTCATGACAATAATATCCAATCACATATCCCTTTTAAGCAGTTTTCTTGCTCATCTGTTTCAATGCAGTATACATTATTTATCCTCTCTTTCTCAGTCTCTCCCTAACTCCGATGTCAGTCCCGTTTTACAATAGTGGCACTATGCAGTATTTGTCCTTTTGTGACTGAAATACTTCACTCAGCATAATGTCCTCCAGGGTCACTCATTTTGTATAATATTTCATGAGTTCCTTGTTTTTCAGTGCAGCATAGTATTCCATTGTGTGAATATACCAGAGTTACTCTATCCATTCATTTGTTGATGGGCACTTAGGTTGTTTCCAAATCCTTGCTATTGTGAGGAAAGCCACGATAAATGTGGGTGTACATATATCTGCTTGGCTGACAGTTATGGTCTCTTTGGGGTATATTCTCAGTAGTGGAATTGTTGGGTCAACTTTGCAACTTTCAAGTCGATTTCTATTCATCAAGACCCTATATAGGACAGAGTCGAACTGCCCTTAATGTTTTCAAGGCTGAAGCAGGAGTGGTGTCCACGTCCTAAACCACGTGCCTCCAGAAACTCTGTGAACTTTGATAAATGTCGATAGTGATAGAGGGCTCCAGGCCTTTTGTTCATAGGGTCGCTATGAGTCATGCTTGACTCGAAGGCAATCAACAACAACAACAACAGTCAACTTCTTTCCAGAAGCTGACGGCTTTGTGTTTCTCCCTCAAGAGCGTCTGCTGGAGTCAAATCACTGGCTTTTCTGTTAGCAATGAGGCACAATAAACCCCCATGCCAACAGGACTCCTGAGAGCAGTGAACCAGAAACATCACCTGGACTGTTGTTATGTGCCATTGAATTGCCTGCGACTCATAGCGACCCTGTGTACAGCAGCTCTGAAGCCTGCCCTCTTCTGAGCCAGTCTCATTGACTTCATAACACCTACCCCCATTACCCCGTGACTGTGTTAATCTATCTCATCCGAGGTCTTCCTTTCCTTCGCTGTTCTCCACCCTCCAAACCATGCTATCCTTTTCCAAGGAATGATCCCTGCTAGCTATGTGCCCGAAGTCTGTGAGGTGGACCTTAGAAATCCTAGCCTCCAAGGAGAAACTTGATTTCACCCGGACTAGTGGCTGAGAAAGGTGGAGGGCCGAATGAACAGAGGAAGATGGACAGATGCAGTGACTTTAACAATGGCCTTGGGCATGTCAGAGACAGGGAGGATGCTCACGTAGACACTCACAGCTTCTATGAGCTGAACTTGACTCGATGGCACCCAACAATGACAAACTGATGTGGTCACAGAATAAGAAGGAAGATTCTGTGTATGCCAATATAAATAAATGAAGAGCCGGTTTTCACCCTAAGAATTCGAATGGAGAGTCCCATCTTTTTACTCTGCGGAATCCTAAACTTCGGTTTCATGTCAGGGTTTTTTGTCTCACCTGGTGGAGTGTCGAGTCTTTCCTCCTCTCACACTGTCAAAAAAGTTCAGCAGAGCGTCTATCCCTTTTCCCTTCCTACTTTTACTGCTTCAAACTCCCTCAGGTTTTCTCTCCCGATAAGAAGGAAACGTGTCTGCTATGGGGTCAGACACGCCACCTGCCACCTGCTCAGCTCTGACTTCCAGGATCCCATGTGTGGTGGAGTAATCTTGTGCTCCATGGGGTTTCCAACGGCTGTGGAGTTTTGGAAGCAGATGGCCAGGCCTTTCTTCCAAAGCACCTCTAGATGGACTTGAACCATCAGCCTTTTGGTCAGCAGTGGATCATGTTAGCTATTTGCACCACTGAGGATGAGAACCATAACCCACCCACAAAAAACAAACAAACAAACAAAAAACAACCCAGCTCAGAGATGGTTCAGTCCACTGCTTCATAGTCAACTCCATGCACTTGAGGAGGGAACTGCGCCCCAGAGGGGGTTAAGTTCAATGGCTCATTTCTCCTGAAACACACTGCCAGGCTTTTCTTCCAAGGCACTTCCGAGTAGGCTTGACCCTTTTGGTCAACAGCAAACATGTTCGTCCCACCCTGAGACTTCACACTCCTCACAACCTCTCGTTGTGAAGCTCAAGCTGAAAGGAATGGCCCGTCAGACAACACATGCAACAGCGGATGGGATAGGGGGTGTATGAGGGAAGAGAGAAAAAGAATCTCAGGAAAGGTTTACATGCAGAAGCCACTGCGGAGGGTTGATGGGCAGGGCAGGAGGGGAAGGAGAGGGAGTAGACCTTAGCCAGGATGGGGAGGGTGAGAGGGAAGGGGGGACACAGGGAGGGTTCCACAGAATGCTGCCAGTAACACCGCTATACAACTGTAATAAATGTTATAAAAGGAAACTTACAGGACTGATTCAATCAAAGCAAAACAAAACAGTAAGCAATGTCCCCAAACCCCGTTCCCCGTAAGTTCATTCTGCCTTCACAGCAGTCCTGGAGTGCAAAGAATTGCCCCGTACAGCTTCCAAGGTTGTGAATATTTAAAAAAAATTTTTAAAATTCATTTTCATGAAAGTTTACAGAGACTTAGGGTTTCCTGGCATTGTTTCATTTTTTTAATTATCATTTTTTTGTGTGAGTGTACCATCAAAACAGATCTGACTGGTACAGGAGGAAATTGTCCCTCCTTCCCCAGCAGAGCATCTGGTGGATTCAAACCGTACGCCTCTGGGATTGTAGTTGCAGCTCCTTGCCACTAGGCCACCAGAGCTCCCCTTATTGTTGCACTTTTCTTCCTACCCATCCCCTCCCCCCAATTCACTCTTCTTGAAAAAGAGAAAAACTCTTTCATTGTTATATAATCCCTCCCCCCAAATCCACTATGCAACCTTCACTCTGGACTTCTATAATGACAAGAATACCCACTCATATGTCCCTTTTAAACAGTTCTCTCATCTGTTTCAATGCAGTATACATCATTCCTCTCCTCCTTTTCTGTCTTTCCTGAACCCTGATGTCAGTCCTGTTTTACAATAGTGTCCCTATGCAATACTTGTCCTTTTGTGACTGAGATAGTTCACTTAGCATAATGTCCTCCAGAATCATCCATTTTGCATAATTTCACCAGTTTCTTGGGTTCCCCCCCCCCAATGCTGCATAGTATTCCATTGTGTGAATATACCAGAGCTTCTCTATCCATTCGTTTGTTGATGGAAATACTTTTTTTGCAAAGCTAGATGACCCGTCTCTCTCCCTCCTAGGAGCTGCTAGGGATTCGGGTATCAGCTGTGGGCTTAACCATCAAAGCTCCTTCGAGTGCCTCAATGGGACCTGAGTGGGGAATGGTTGATTAAAGTGATGTGTGAAGTGAGCTTGCTCTCTCTTCAACCCCATGATGATATCCTGGGAGGACTCTCTCTCATTGCTAGTTGACTGATAACTGAAACCGACTCATAGCTGACCCTCCAACATATTTCCAGAGGCTGTAAGTACAAGGGAGGGCATTGTCCATCTATTCCAAGGCGCATCTCTCCACTGACAATGTCTGGGTTCTTGGTTTTCTTCTATTTCCTCTCCGCTCTCCTTGACCTCCAGCTGTCCTTTCATGAAAGACACTCAGGGGACTGAATTATGCCACAAATCTGGATTATCAAGGCTTAAGGCAAATTGATTAATCCCCTGGGGAATTAATCTCCTACAAAACTAATCTGCTACAAAATGTCACTCCATGGGGGAAAGATGAGACACTTTCTGTCTCTTCCTATTAAGATGAGACAGGTTAACCATTTCCTTTAAGGTTACCTGTCGGTCACTATTCTATTCCCCCATTCAGAAAAGTTCCCTTGATCCATAGTACATTTGCCACAATTGATGAACTGATATTGACACATTATTAATGAAAATCCATAGTTTACAACAGAATTCACTCTATATCAACCATTTTATGTTTAAATCTCAAAATCATCCTTCATTCTTCCCTTCCCTCCCTCACATCTTTCCCCCTCCCTCGCTTCCTCCCCCTAACTTCCTTCCCCCTTTCCTCCCTTGTTGTAGATCGAGGGTCCCAAAGAATAGAATAATCTTTTAATTATTAATAAAGAGACAAACAGCCAGGAATGTGATAGAGCAGAGAGCATAAAACAGGGGGCCAGCAGTTCTC